TGTCCTTAGAAGACGGAGGCAGAGGGAGATTTGACACAGAAGAGAATGTGATGTGAGCAGAGATTGAAGAGATAATTTTGCTCTTTGAAGATGAAGGAGGCAGCCAGCAGCCAAGGAATCCAGTTGGCCAATGGGAACTGAAGAAGACAAGGAAACAGATTCTCCCTTCAGAGGCTCCAGAAGGAACCAGCCCTGCCAACACCTTGACTTTAGTCCAGTGAAACTGATTTTGGATTTCTGACCTCAAGAACAGCAGAGAATAAATCTGTGTTGTTTAAACCACTGAGTCTGTGGCAACTTGTTTCAATGGTAATAGCAAAGAAACATATTACCCTAAAGTAGTCAATGCCTAGGGGAGAAAATGGACACCTTTGTATAGGGATAAGTGCTATCACAGGGTACAAGGGAAGGGGAGGAGTGTAACGGGAGCTGAGAGCCACCCTTGGGATGGGGAAGGTAGCCCTGGAGGGATTCCCCAGGAAGGAGCTGCTTGCTGAGACAGAGCTCGAAGAATGGATAAGGATTCAAGAAATCAGCATGAAAAGCAGCACCTGCATAGGTAAACCAGGAACGTGAAATAACAAAGCCCATTTGCTGATCTGTGGAAGGTGGGGAGTGGATGGAAGTTCAGAGCAACAGGAGATGGGGGTGATGAGGTGTCTGGGTCGGCCCCAGGAGGGTTTCCATGTTAGGGAGTTGGGATGTAACCATAAGGGCAATGGGAAACTATTTGATGAGTTGCATTAACGGCCCCTATTCCTCACCCCTCCCTGTACCCATGCCCCTTGCTAGGTGACTTTGCTTATCCACCCATCAAGGGCGGAGTATATTTTCCTCTCTTGACACTAGTTCAGCCATGTATCTTGCTTTAGACAATAGAATGATACAAACTGATCATGTGTCCATTCTGAGCCTTGCACATTTCTGCTAGTCCCAGGAGAGGATGTACCCCAGAGAAGCCAGACTAGAGCTGAGCCCCTAGTTTACTGACAGACCACGAGTGACCCCAGCCCAGGTCAACTGGCCCCAGCTAGCCCACAGATGCATGAGTTACAACAAATGACAGTAATTCCAGGCCACTGAATTTTGGGGTAATTTGTTACGCAGCAATAGCTAGTTGCTATACCAATGGAGGGTTCAAAGGAAGAGCATGACCTGGCCAGATTTAAAAAATCTCTTGGATGGATGATGGAGGATGGATTGGAGGAGGTGAGCTTGAAGGTGGTGATTCAGGTGAGAGGTGGTGAGGGCCTTCCCCGATGCAGGAGTAGTAGGAGGAGACAGATACAAGTGTTATTAAGGAGTAATGGCACAAAGGTGAGTTACAAATTAGACATAGGAATTGAGGGAGAGAGGAGAACTGCATGACACCAAAATTTCTGGATTGGAATAAGCTCTGCGAATGGATAAAGTGATAAGTAATGACAAGCTTTGATGTGTTGGTTTGCAGCGCTGTGGCCAGGACAAAGCTTAATTATCAATCTGGGGCTGGAGTCTGGACTGAAGACCTAGACTAGGGAATCGTCAGAGAGTTAGTGATAGTGAATTAGCGATGAGGTAGTGAAAGTGCATGAGGGTGTTTACAATAAGTAGAAAAGAGTCACATTTTGAGCCCTGAAAACCCCCACTGGCTTGAGGAAGGGTCCCAGAGATGACGGAGGAGTAGTCAGAGAGGAGAAAGGAGAACCAGGGAATTGCTGGTGTCCAGAGACCCCAGGAAGGGAGGTGTTTGGAGGAGGAGGGAATGCATGGTCAGCAGGGTTGGGAATGCAGTGGCCAGTGAGGACAAATGAGACAGTGGTGTGAGCCTAGGATGGGTCATGAGTCACCATGGTGAGAACAGTCTTGGAGGCAGACAGAAGTGCCTTGCAGTGAGATTGAGAGGTGAGGCAGTGGAGAGAGTGAGTTAAGGAAAACTGTTTCAAGACGCCTGATATAGAGGGGAGCAGAGAGAGGGTGTAAGACTGGGGCATTGCTTTTTCTTAGGATGAAGGGACCGGAGCATGATTTGTTGTTTAGGGTTCTGAGCAGGGGAGAGAAAGAGTCTGATCTATCTTTTAAAAATGATCCCTCAGGCCACAGTAGATTGTAGGGTGGTGAGAATTGAGAAGCAAGGAGACCAGTGAGGAGGCTAGTTTAATGGTCCAGGAGAGAGAGATGATGACACTGAGCAGGGTGGTAGCTGTGTAAGCAGGAAGAAGTGGTCACACTGGGGATTTTGGTGGGTGACACAAGGACCAGAGGCTATGGATTGGATCGTGTGTGTGTACGTGTGTGGGTGTAGGTGTGTGCAGGATGATGGGAATGCAGCATGCCTTCCAGGTTTTTGCCTGAGTAAGTGGGAAGGCTGGAGATGAAGGAACAGGTTTTGTGGAGGGGAAGGTGTGGAATCACTTTGTCTTGCAGTCGTTGAGTTTAAAGTGCTGGGTAGGAATGCAAATGTCGACATCAAGGAAGCAGTGGAAACCGTGCATCTGGCGTTCAGGGGAGATATACACTCAGGAGTTATCTGTGAACGTGGAGCATTTACCTCCCATGTGACTGGGTGAGCATTCCTAGGAGGGGACTGGAGCTGGAGAAGCTTGCTCAGCGTTATTGTCTCTGTTAGACTAAATGCCATGAAAGCAGGGCCCCTGCCTGCCTCGTGCATGGTTGGGGGCTAATACCTAGGACAGCGCCTGGCATATAGTAGGTGCTCCATAAGTGCTCATTTGAGGAATGAGATAAATGAGTGTCATAGGGGTTGGTTAGGTCAAGGAAGGGAGAGATAAAGGAGACAGCGAGGATGGTCCTATGGGTGGGAAGTTATCTAGTTACCGTCCAGGAAGGAAAGCTCTGGAGTCCTTTCTGAGTTTCCCACTGCCCTGCCTTTGCATCTGCCCCTTCCTCTGCCTGAAATTCCCTGTCCCTCAGGTCCTAGACCCACATGGGCAAATCCTTCTCCCTCTTCCCTCTGAGCCATTATGAATGCCTGGAGCAGCTCTGCCACCAGCTCCTTTTTACTGTCTCGTCCACAACCTTCTTCAAGGCCCCAGAGTTTCACTAGGTTGATGGGTCACTGGACAGAATGGGAGGTGAGGTGAGTCCGGCATGTCTCATTTTAGGGGTCCTGTGCTGGGCCCTGGTGATCCTGGACATGGCTTGCCTTTCATAGGCAAGCAAACCGGATGTCCTTGATCCTGGCCCGGACGGAGGTCAAGTTAGAAAAATGTACCTTCTCATCATTTTGCAAAATGAAGACATTTCCCTGTTTGGAGTTTTCTTGTCCCTCGTCTACTCCCCAGGATTTCTTGGACTTTCTCATCCTCCTGGATGGGAATTTTTCTGGGGTTTGGATGTGCATCTAAAGTTCTTTCCTGTATGTTTCAGATCCCTTCGCATTTGGCAACCGTGGCGATTCAGTGCTTTGGCGGTTCCGGTGGGTCTGTGGGGCTCTCAGCCCTGGTCCCCTGACTTCTGCAAAATCCCTGTTAAGTCAGAGCTTCCCCAGGGGCTGCCTCCCTAGACACCTTCAGACCTCCTTGCCCTTCTTTACCAGGGCCACTCCAGGTCTTGGTGTACCCTCATGTTCCCATCTGCCCCTCTGGAGACATCTTTCCCTTTGAAGACCCAGACAGAAGCTTGCATCTCTCTACTACGAAAATGTTTCAGAACCTGCCTTTTCCTAGAGGAGGGGCATGTGTCAGACCAAATTCTGCTTTTTCCCTCTTTGGCCCACAGGGGCTGGCACGGCCAGGTCCCTTTGTGCCTCTCACTTCTCTGGCAAGGATTTATTGGCTAACATCTGTCTAGAAAAGTAGTTACTTAAAAAATGGAAATTGATTTGACATATAACACTGTGTAAGTTTAAGGTGTACAATGTGTTGATTTGATACATTTACATACTTTGTCAGTTCTTTGATCTGAGCCTTGGTTTCTTCACTTATACCAAGGGAATAATAAATCTTACCTGCCAGGGTTGTTTCAAGGATTAGATGAGATCATATATTTGGATGTACCGAGTAGTTTCGGGTTCCTGCAGGCACTGAGCAGGGATCATCTGGCTCCTCCCTTCCCATCCTCGTTTCCTTTCCCCTCTTCCTCTGCCTTCTGGTTATGAAACTGTCAGAAGGAGTCACTTAAGCCCCCACCCCGACCCTACATGCTGCTGGGTGGGAGGTGGGCGTCCTTCTCTCCCCATGGACAGCCCCGATTGGCTCATCTACTGGGGGCCCAATCATCCGGGTTTGCCTAGAACTGAGGGGTTTCTGAGGCACAGGACTTTCAGCGCAAACCCCAGAAGCAGGCTCCACCTGCACTGTCTATTCTGACCCCACCTTGGATGAGGTATACAGGACTGGCATTTTTCTAAACCTCATGGTTCCGGTCTTGGCCAGAGACCCTGGTTCTCCGCTCTGCCAATACTGTGTTTCTGTCTTTCCCCCAACTCAGTCAGGGGTCTTCCATCTCCAACCCCTGGGAATGGTTCTGAGCTGTGGGCAAGCAGCCCTGAAACTGTCAGAGGCACCAGTGTTGGCTCCTTCATGCCGGTGGTCACCGATATTCCTGATCGCTTTCGGGGCTGCTGCCCAACACCACGGTGCCATATGGGAGGCAATTCCCGTGCATCTCCCCAGCAACACATCTTCAGTCTGGCTCTGTTGTGATGCTATCAAATCTCTTTCAGTGCTTACCTGTCAGTTCTTGGCTGACCCCTAGAAGCAGGTCTCTGAGAAGCAGCTGTCATTTCTGCTGCACCAGCCAGGCCAGGCAGGGGGTTCAGACTTCTCCCCTTGACACTTCATGTCAGCTCCAGGAAGCCAGGCCTCTAGCCCAGCAGCCTGGACTGTGCCAGCTGGTGATACATCCCCCTAGGAGAAGGTTCATGTGAACAGGTCCCCAGGCTCCTCTGGGCATGTGTGACCCGTGGACTCTGACGCGGAAGAGTCTGGCTTTTGTTCTCAAGTCCATCATTTACTCACTGTGCAACCTCAGAGCCATTCACCACCCTCTCTAATCTTGCTCCCTTGTTTATCTATAGAGGGGGAGTGGTAACACCTTGCACACAAGAACACTGAAGGAAAAGCACTTAGCACAGGGCACGTGCGGGACCCAGCAAGAATAAGGTGAGAGCTGGCCGTTTCTTATTTCCCTTGTTTGTGGGACCTTGGTTTGTCTGTCTGTCCCTTGCCTCACTGGTGTTACTACCCCTGCCAGCATCAGAGCTAGGTGGGTGAATAATAAGCAAAAACAGTCATGCTTTGACTTCTTCTTTTACGGGCCTGGGAAAAGTTAACCAAGTTTGACACAGCATTTTTTGTTTGTTTTGTTTTGTTTTTTTTATTTGTGGGGGAGATAATTAGGTTTAT